ATTCATCTATCAGATATCTGATATCAGCTATTTGTCTCCTTTTCTGGCCCTTTGGGCCATGTTGTAGACACTTTTGGTTTTAATTAGGATCAATGCAGAGGCAAACATTTTATTAGTCAAATATTGATAATACTAATTATTGGCATTACAGTGCTCAACAAAAGTTTTCCCACACCCATAACTCAGCACAGAGTTAAGGTAGGGAAAAAAATTTTTTTATTTAAAAATATATTGAAATACATAAAAATTAATGCATCATATAATCATTCTCTGCTTCAATTAGGGCCTCCACACAATGCTTCATACTACCCACCAAATTAGCCACATATTTTTTCAGTAATTGATTTCATTCTTTTGTTATTTGTGCTTTCAGAATACTAAGTTTATTAATTGTTTTTTTTTGTCAGGTTCATTTTAATAAGTCCCAGACATTCTTAATCAAGTTTTGGTTAGGTAGCATCTATGACCAGGGAAGAACTTTGACTTCATTTTTCTTCTTTCATGTCTTTGTGATTTTTGAATGGTGCTTCAGGTTATTGTCCTCCTGCAAAATCCAACTATCAAAACCATCACCAATAAGGTTCACAGCAGAAGGTAGAAGGGCCATTTCATACAGGATGATCATATATTGCATATTAAGGTTATACATAAAGCAAACCAACCTTCCAAAGCTAGAAGAAGAAAAATACTCCTATATGTGAACCTTTAAAGAATGCTTGATGAAATGAATTATTTTCCTTGCCTTGATGAACTGCCATGCCTTTTTTAACTGCTGATTCAAGCAGAAGATGTTTTCATCAGTAAATATCATGAAATTTCAGTCAAATTCCTTATGTTTCTTCACCCACAAGAGCTGTTTTTTCTGATACTTCTCTTCGAGCAAAGGCTTTGTGAATTTTCTGTAATAACAAGCCTCACCTTCACCAAGGTGCTATTGAATAGTGCATATATGAATGTCCATTTTCTGTTTTAAAAGCTCATAGTGGATTTCTGATGCTGAGATATCTATGTTCTCTTTTGCTAACTTCAAAATCTGGTTGTTTTGTCTTTTTGTGGTGGCCCTTTGATGATCTGACCTTGGTTTGTCACTTAGGTCTTTACTTTCTTGCCATCTTTTTGCCTATTCTCATACTGTTTTTTCATTACAACAAACCTCCTTTGCTATCTCACACATTGAGAGCTTGAGACCCTTCAGGTGGCTAGTTAAAAACGCAATTTCATATTGCTTATATAAGGAAAGAAACATATTTTTGATTGAAAATTGATGTATAGAGAGCATGAGTATTTTTACTATATACAGTGCCAAAGAAGTTTAGTACAATCTGCATATACAATGTACTATGCCCTGTATGAAATTTCATGCTTCTAAACATGAATTTTCAGAAATTACAGGTGCAGAAAAACTTTTGTCAAACACTGTATATAATAATTGTTAAGTTATAACTTGCATGTAATAACTATTTTTATAATTTAAGTTATGGCATATTATAATTTGTATATGTGTTTAGTTCTGCACAACAATCCTAATGTTGCCCAGAAAAAATGGTAGCCAGATTATTATGCCAGCATTGCCAGATAAATTATAAATTTTTTTATTCAATGAATTTTTTTTAGTTATAGTGAATAAATAAATAAAAAAAATAAGGCAATTTAAACAGTTTATCTTAAATTCATAGAATCTTTACACACTATATTATAAAGTAACTTATTTTTGATACACCAATTACAAGGTAAATTAGCATAGATAACAAATCTATGAATTCACGAATTTTAATGCATTAGTTAAATGATCTTTATACATAATTAGTTAATGTGAATTAAAAAAATATGAGTAGCATTATGTAACTATAATTTATTTTAAATACTAGAGTTTGTATTTACTCGCTAAATTAGCAAGAATAAATAAGAAGCAGAATCGCGAACTTAAAGAGCTTATTTAAGCGATCGATCAAGATCTTTATACTCAACCGAATTAACGCTAATAAAACAAACAATCATATATAAATATTGTCCAGAATCAATTCTGAGATCTGATTAGCCGTTTCCTTAAAACAATATTTAACTTGAATATATTATCCAGATCTGAATTTTTGAATTTTTATTTCACTAATTCCCGACCAAAATGCTCGTGTTTCAAGTTCGTTGATAATTTTTTGACATTGTACAAATGCCTTAGTCTTAATCTTTCTACTTAACAACAGGAACTAAACAAAAGCATCACTATGTAATGATAGTTTTTATAAAAGCTTCATACTCGCAATAAATTAATGTGAACAAGTTTATACTTAATTAGATTAATGCAAAATCAAATAAGCAAATGCTCACAAACTTGAATCACTTATTTTAATTAATTAAAAAGTGCTTTTACACTCACCATCCAAATTAACACGAATATTAAGAGGTACTGAATAACTATATACAATTTTAGCGATGTAACTAAGGGTGCTCTCAAGCACCTCTCAGTGTAATTAGCTAACTATAGAGATCGTGCACAAGTACTACGATCAATTGAAGTAACCTTACGGGAATTTTGTCGAAGATTCATGTTGAGAAACGCGGATATTAAATTTTAGTCAATCAGCACAACTCTATGATAAAAAAGATGGTCTCTGACCATCTTTTTTTTAATCGAGATAATGAACTCGCTTGACCGAATAATTTATTTTTCCACTAATTAAAATTTGAACTCAGGCCTGTTGATTTAGATGCTTGAGAGACCCTAATTATCATGTTTGGTTCGAGTTATTAGATTTTATTGTTTAAATGAGTTGTTTTGCTTGCAAAAATATGACGCACTTTATTTTGTGAATTCAATACAGTAAATATTCTCGAAATCAAAGCGAAAGTAAAACGATAGTCAAAGTGAAATTCAAAACGAAAGTCATAACAAAGTCAAAACGGAAGCCAAACTGAAAGTCAAAACGAAAGTCGAAACGAAAGTCAAAGTGAAAGTCAAAGTGAACATCAAAGTGAAAGTCAAAGTGAAAGTCAAAGTCAAGAAGTTTCTAATTAAGACCCTAGCATCATCACCTTAAAAATTCCGCTAAACAAAATTTTGCTGTTAAGTTAGAGTTAGGTTTGCTATTAAGTCAGGCTAAAAAAGTTTTTTTAATGTTAAAATTTCAAAAGGAAATCTTTTTGTTATTGTGCAGAAGGTAATTCATAAGTAAAATGTTGAACTATAAATGATTTTTTAGTTTGTTTTGATTTTTCGCATTTCTTTTGCGTAACACCTGATTTTGAAGTCTGTTTGGCCTGTGAAAATTTTTATGATGGATTGAAACTCTATCTGATACATGAACATTTCTAATGACCGGATGGAAAATAAATTTCTCTTCGTCTCTTACCAAAGTTAATAATTAGCTCGATTTATTTTTATAAATTTCATTTCATTACATATTTTATTGATTATCCTGTGCAAAAATAGTCCTATGCTTTGTTTCGATTAATAATATTTGCAAATAATGCAAATAAAAATAATGCAAGAACGTTAAGTCCGCAACATACATAAAGGACTAAAGGCCCAAAAAATTTACGCTTAAAGTTATCGTAGCGATCCAAGTTAATAACGAGATAGAATCAGAATATTATTGTGCCAAAACCGCGATTTTGTTTTGCAAAGTACGGATATGAACTCAAACATCACATACTCGAGTCTTTCAAATATTTCCTTAGGTCGAGTACTTACATAATTATGTTTAGCCATTTCTCGCTTCGATACCTTTTGATTATTTAGTCAATCACGATACCATCAGAAAGGAGCTAGATCAACTAATGCAGGATTTACAGAATCTATTAACAGAGTGGGAAAAAATCATTCGATTAATCATCAAAGAATACAAAACAATTGATCAAATGACGATTATGGAATTTTAAGGACGTTCAAATACATCAAATTGTACATAACGATAACACTTTTAATTAAATCGTGTATCTCATGATCTAGTAATCAAAATCACATAATTTTGGTACCATTCGTCTCAAATGATATAAAATCATGATTTCGATCACTAGATCATAAGATATTGCGATTTAATTAACTTTACGAATTTGGTATGCAAAGCCTGTAAAATAAATTTCTCCAATAATATATTACACTTGCACCCTCCTGTGAAAATATCAGTCCATCAAACGAAGTATTAATAAAATTTTTCAAGTATATTATTTAATGGTAAGAGATTACCTTAATCATTACAAAAGTATGAAAAAAACAACACCGAATAGAACAAGTTATTTGACTGTAATATAATTTCTTTATAAATTTCAAATCAATGTTTAAATTTGAAAGGTCATTATAGTTTAAAAACTTTTTTAAAATTAACTTATTATAATACAGTATCTTGATCATTTCCTTTAGTTTATACTTGCCGGATAATCCTGAGAAAACTCCAAAAAAAAATTGTTATTTATAAATAATTAAATCTTGATATTTTATAAATATATTCTATATAAGATCATAACTCATTTGTTTAGTCAAAGATTATTTATAAAGTTTAAGATATTATTTTGGCCAGAGTTTGGAATTTGGGCTTGGACAAACTCAAAACTATAATAGTTTAGGATCTGGGCAACAAGTATACTTTAGTTTACTAGTTTTGTTTCATACCAAGCCTCCTCCTCTTCTACCAGGTGGTCTTGGTCTCGAAAAGGTTAATTTTGGAGCTACTTCAACTGGAGGATGTAATTCGTCTAAAATAAAAGCTTTTGTAAGATCTTGTGGATCATTTGTTTCCAACTAAAGTGATTAATAAAAATTTTATTAATATAAATTTATAAAATATCGAATTTTAAATATCAAGGGTTAATAATAAAAATACCTTTTTTGCAACCGTAAGTCCGCAATCACTTTCACCATACGCGATCACAGATCCACGGCATGATGAGTATAACATACGCTCCCGAATTTTAGATGATGTTGGACAAGTATATATAAAAACTAAGAATAAGAAAATAATATTGAGATAATTGTGGCAACTAAATATAAATTTTAAGCGTACAGTTTAAAAATCATAATTACTTGTTGATTGATATTCTTGTCCTTCATGAGAATGTTCATAAGTAAAGAAGGAGAATCTAGGCTCTTCAGAGGATAAAGTATTTGCCAGCTCATCAATATCGATTTTACTGGTAGAATCGAGTTCAATTCTTTCATTTTTAACATCCAACGACTATGTATTAATATATTAAATTAATATATTAAATTGGAAGAAAAAGCTTTTAAATGAGCGGTTGATCACTCAAAGAGAAACATACAACAACGAAGTGATAATTCATAAAAGTTTATTACAAGTTGCACCAGATTAAAACTTGGATCATCTTGCTTCAATGACTTTATTGCAGTCACGGCTTCGTCAGATAAAGGAAAAGCAATGCCAGCAACATGAGATTTGCGTGATGAAGTACTATACGAACTGGCGCTTGCCTATTAAATTATGTTATCTATAAGATCATTTATATAAAATATTTATGTAATAGATTTACATATTTCAGGCTTACCTCAGCCGCTCTGACTTCAGCCAATTCTTTTTCACGCTGAGTCAGCGGCGCTTCTGCGTTTTTGTGACGTTTATGCCTTTCATATTCTTCAAGTGAGAAATCAGTCTACAGATATATGACATGATATTAACGATGATGAATTGCGTAATGGATGCGGGTTTATAATAGTACTTACGATAGCAGTACCATGCATAGAATCTACGAATCGATAATCACCCAACTCTTTTGTTAAAGTAGCACGAGTGGATGCATACAACGTTTTGTCTCTGACCTTTATATTAATTGAATGAATCTTATAGTAAGAAAATGTCATGATTTCAAGAACATTTATCATAAATCAATTTCACCTTGGCATTATCAGGAACATAAGCAAAGAATATCCATTCATAGTCTCCTGAGGATGATTTAGTATCAAGCCGATAAAGAATGTAGCATGGAATCTTATCTTCCAAAAATTCTTGAACTCCAACAAAATCTATTATATATACATATTGAAATAAATATATTTAATAAAGTAGACGATACTTTTTTTTTTTAACTTGGATAACATCGTCTCACCATCATTCCAGCCACTCTTTACTTCTAACGTTCCATTTGGAACTAAGGATTCTTAAAGGAACCATTGTTTTAATATGAGCTGATCAAACTTGTTTAATGAGTGTTAAATTTTCGTTTACCATTAACTATTGACACACGTATAAGCCTATAGTTTCCATTTGTGACAGCATTGCTGAATAGTTCAGCAAGTTCTTTAGATACTATACAAAACTAAAAGCATAAATTTTTACATTACAAACAATTATTTCTGATAGTTATGGCTAAAAACTGACCTTGAATCCCAGATTGAGTCATAGTTTCAATAAAACTACTATTTGTTCGAAAATGGATGTACGCACTTTAAAATTAGATTCTCCTTTCGGCACATGATTGCTGATCACGTATAAATTTAGAATTATCGTTACAATCAACTCAAAATCACGAGTAATGTAACTTCTATATATAATGCGTTGTATTTTTGTTCTAATCTTGAATGTTGTGCAAAATTTTTAGAGGTATTAGTATTCTGCCAGATCTTGTAGCCAATCAGCATATTCCAATTACACATGATCAGGATTTATAATCACATGATACGGGCATGCCTTTGCCAATGGCTCAAGCGAATGCCTAGGGAGGCATGCCTGTTCATTTATGCAATAAATTTTTTAAAATATGCGAATTAGATAGAAATGTGCGTTTATAAATAGAAATATGTGATCACTTTACAGACCTTATTATATGTAGATATCAAGAAAATTTTAGACATCTTAATGATAAGTATTTTATACAGTACGAATTTTTTTTGTTCATTTATTATCTCAAATTTTTACGCGTCTATTTCTTATTTTTGGTTAGCACATAGTTTTAAAACATGTTGACTATCGCTATCATAAAGGTTTAGTTCTTTAGTTATGAGAAAAACTACAATACAATAGGGTGAAGCCTGCAATAGATTCTAGCTAAATTCACTACAAAAATCACGCAATAGTAAAAGTGAAATCCACGTTAATTAGAATTTAACACAAATCGATTACAAGCTCCTTTTTAGATTTTATGCGCAGATTATGCACTATTAAATATGCAAAGTCAGCCCTGATATGCAAAATATGCAATGCAATAAATATGCGCAGATTGCAATTTCAAATTTGCACTAGCCCTACTGAGACATGCCCTAGGATACCGTGCCACCAACTCTACTGTCCTGACGTTACCCAACTTAAAAAATTTCACTGGCCAATCAGATTTCAAGAATAGGTGTGACGCAGAAGAAATGCAAAAAATCAAAACAACCCAAAAAATCGCTCATAACTCAATCTATGAAATCACTTTCTACGCACTAACAAAAATTTTCTTTGCTCTTTCTAACCTAGATTAATATCAAAGCCTAAATCTAATAATCTAACAACGAAATTGTTTGAGCGAAATTTTTTTAAGTTGGTAACACTAGATCAGTTCTCGAAACTCAATAAAGTTAAAGCTTAAAAGTGCAATAAGAATGTTTAAAAACTTTATATACGTATATAGAGATTACTAACGAGTCTTTGGATATAATAAACTTTAGATCTTTAAATATGGTATTTGGCATAAAAGATATAACTGGTTCTTAAAAAAACATGTAGGTCTTTTTCTTAAAGTGACAAGTGATAGAGGTTTGTAAATTGATTGTTCAATTTCATGTGACCAACATATAGGGATGGTCAATAGAAATCAAGCAGATTATTTACAAGCAAATTGTTTTAAACTTTAGATTAAAATATATTAACAATTATTAAAACAAACTTAATAAAATTTTTTTTATTTAATTCTATAACTTTATAGAATTAAACAAAAAAATTTTATCAAGTTTGATTTAATAGTTGTTGAGATATTTTAATTTAGGGCGAATCTAGTTGAGATATTTTAATTTAGGGCGAATCTATTGTCGCCGGCAGTGATAGACCTAGGCTAATCAGATTGCACAATTCAAAAAAAAATCTCAACAATTTCAAATCAAAATAACTCACAATTATGCCTATGAAACTAACTTCCGTGTTTTAAAAACTATTCCTTGCATAATTTTACTGTATATTATAACCTTTTCTAACCCTAAATCTAACTCTAAATAAAAATATGGATACTGTCACCGGCGGCGAAAAGTAGATTATTTCTTTAATTTAAAAAATTTTTTACTAAAAATAAGTTGCTTGGTTTTCATATACGTATACACGTATACGTACACGATATATTACTTTATACGCAGTTTTGATCTCACCAACCATACACACGTGTTTGCTAATTTAACTTATATGGGCGGAAATTTTTAGTGGAGTGTTGTGACTATATCAAATTAGGTGATATAACAAAGTAATACTTAAAACTGATAAGTAACGGATCAGTTTTGGGTTATTTTTAGCTGATCTGTTCGGTACATTGCTCATAAAAACTGAT